AAGGCAGCCCTGGATGGGTTCGGGAGACTGACCATGTGCCTTATGTCCACTCCGTGCCTGGCTGAACCAGTAAGGGAGGGGGGTGGTGGGCTATGTAAGCCCTGGACCCTGGAGGATCCTAGAAGGGAAGGTCCCCCCAGACGGTGTTGGGGCTCCATGGCCTGGGTTCCTGGAAGCTTCTAGAGCTTCGCAGCCCTACCGGGGCCCCATCATTCTCTCCGGGCAGAGGGACAGGAGTCCCTGCAAGGCAGCAGGCTGGCCTTGGCCTTGGCTGGTGCGTGGGTGCAAAGAGGTTTTGCCGTTATTAATGAAATAATTGTTAAAATGCACTTAAGCCAGAGCAGGAGTGGAGGAGGGAGATGGAAAGCCTGGAGATGTGCAGAGCCCGGGCGGGGGGCGGGAGTGACACTTGCAGACAGGACCCTGGCTCTGGTCCATCCCAGGGAGGCGTGAGACACCCAGCCCACTCCCAACCACCAAGGCTCTGGCCTCTCCCTTCGCCCTTGTCTCCTGGTCACCTTGTCTTCCCAGATCAAGGGCTCCCATGGTGGGTTCGGACAGCTGAGCTGGAGGGACCCGGGCTGGGCAGCAGGCCCCGTCTCCACTCGCTTGCTCCTCCCAGAGGCGGAGCGGTGGGCTTGTGTTAGGAAGAAGTCTGGTCTCCAGTGTCAAGGCTAAGTTAACCTTTCTTAGGGTGCCTGGAGCATTGAGGCCACATCTGGGCTCATGGAAGGATGTGGAAATCACTGAGCCACGTCCACATGGGGTCGGGAAGGGCACCCGGCATTGGGGTCCCTGCCCTGTGGCATTCTGCCACCCCTTGGGGAACCAGGCCTTACCCCTCTCCGAACTCTCATTCTCGACTTTGAACGGGAGCCCTTCCTGTGGGGAGCTGGACCTTGGAGACTGGGAACTGCGGGCCCGGTTCTGGCATGGGTCTCAAGCACTTATCCTTAGGGGAACTGGGCGCTGGCAGGGCCACCCCGCCTCCCAGCTCCCTCCCCAGTGTGGCTCCACTCCTTCATTCTGACATAGGAGTTCCCCACACCATGCAGGGGCCCAGCCTTCCTTAGGACGACTCTGTTCTCCCTCCCCCAGACTGCGGGAGCCCCTCCTGAAATGCCTTACAACTGCTGAGCCCCACCCTTTGTAATAGAATCCTGGGGCTTCCTCAGCGAGGGTGCCTGGCCTTGGACTGTGGCCCCTCAGTCCTGAACTGGAACATGACCCTCCACTGCCCCCTGGAGCCCTTCTGGACACAGCATAGCCCCAATCTGGTTAGCAGCTGGCTGTTTCCATGCCTGAGGAGGGGTCCTCAGTGCAAGGATTGGGGCCGCGCTGGGGCTCCGAGCTGCTCGAGGGCGGGGGTCAACCTCGGACCAAAGTTGCCTTAAGCCCAATAAGGTAGATGGGCTTCGGGGAAGGGGAGTGGGGCACCTGCTGGAGGCTGACAGCTGCCTGGCTGGCACTGGTAAGTGGGTATCTCGGCTCCATTCCCCACGTGGGGTCCAGCAGGCATCTCCCCCCTTCCCCTCTTCCCTTCGGCATTTATTCCCCTAGCCCCTGGGCTAATCTCCCCTGAGCTTCAAGCTGTACATAGGGCCTCTCGATGCATGAGTCCCTCTGCCCACACTATACCCGCGCCCATAAAAGCCTGCATGTGCATAGAGCGCCCCTCCCTCCCAGTTAACTCCCGGTTCCTGTCCCTGAGTGCTGACTCCTATTTATCGTGTACCAGCTCTGACTCTGGAGTGGGTAGAGGGAAGCAGCCATGGGCCTGCTTGCTTCCTGTCCCCGTTCTTTTCTTCCAAGGTAAATATACGTATATAAATAAATGTATAAATATGGCTTTGTATCTGACCTTGCCTCCCCATCTCTTCTTGAGACTGTTCTGGTAAGAGATGGGAGTCGCCTGTGGGGGCGAAGACCAACTGGGATCTCCGGGGTTCCTGAGCCATGGGCACGCTTTGCACCCCATTATCTTCAGCCTCACGCCAGGCTTGGGAGCAGGCCTCTGGCAGCCCCCTTCCCCGGCCACACCCAACAGACCCACGGCTGCCCTTCCTGGGTAAAGTGGACCCCCTAGGGAAAGCCCCCCTATGGGGACAAACTGAGCCTTGTGAAGGTCCCCAACCCACAGAAAGGAGAGTACTTTCAGAGGGTGGGACTGGTCCAGGGCAGACTGGACTGGTGGGGGTTCCCAGAGAAGTCTGGTAAAAACAACTGAAGAGGCTAGAACTGGTCCTTCCCTATCCACAGAGTCTTCCGTTCCAAGGACAGACCCCTTCCCTACACCAGCCTCACCCCTCCCAGGTAGAAAGCAGGGCTGCCCAGCGGCAGGGACCATCTGAAAAGGCAGAGGATAAATGGAAAGGGGTGGGACCGGGGAAGTCACGCAGTGCCAGCGCCGACCCACCGCGGCAAAATGGGCACCAGACAGAGGACAGTCACACATCTGCCTTTATTATAAGCAGGTGGGACACTTCCGGTGACGGTAAAAAAATTACTTTACAAAAGCAGGAATTCAGCAAAGCAGCCCGGCTGGAACCTGAAAAGAGGAGAGGGGTATCAACCGACGACCCTCCTTCCTGCCTCATTTCCTCACTGAACCCCTGTGCCCCTGGGGCAAGGGCTGACGGGCATGCTACTCTGGAACTGAGCCACCAAGGCGGATTCTCAGGGACCTGGTTGGTGGATTATCTGCAGCGAGGGTTTCTGGGTTTGTGTAATCACTTAGTCAAGATTTCCTTTGATGACAGAAGACATTCAAACTTATGGCAGTGGCACTCCCTGCAGCAAAGTGCGAGCCCCAGGCTCTGACCCCCTTCAGTGGCATGGGGCGTGTACGAACACGAATGGTATTACGTGGGAAGCCCGCACCTGCAGCCCCACGGAGTACAGCCCAAAGCCAGATCAAGGCCATGGGCAGTGTGCAGGACTCAGAGTGACAACAGAGGTCACAGATCCCTGCCAGGGACAGGGAAGGAGGCACGGGTGTCTGGTGTCTGTCTGGTGTCCCTATCCACTGCCGAGTCTGTCTCCATTAACCAAAGGGTCACACAGGCTGGAGGACCCCCCAGTGTGGACGTGGGAGGCTTCTCCAGGGCCCGCCCCGTCCCAGCTCTTACCCCTGGGAGCTCATACGTAGATGCCAACCCAGAGCAGCAGGAAGAGGACTCCAAAGCCCATGAAGAGTGAGGCCACCAAGGAGATGAGGAGCTCTTTGTAGATATCGCGGGTGTACTTGGTGGAGGTAACTTCATAGCTGGTGGGGTGATCAAGGAGAAGTAAAGGGATGGGACTGCGAAGGACAGGGGGCCTGGCCAGGGCAGCTCTGGCGAAAAGGGATGGGGTAAGGGCTTCCTAGGAGGCTCGCCTGGCTCAGTGCAGCCAGGAAGAGGGGCCCTGGAGGCAACCTGGACTCTGTTGCTTCATACCAGCCCTCAACCACTCATGAAGAAAGTCGGGCCCAGAGGGGCTGGGTCACTTGCCCTGGGTCACACAGCCAGTGAACTGAGCAACTGGCCCTGGCCCTCAGATCTCCTGCCATCTAAGCACACCCCTCCTCTGCCACTCTTCCAACTTCAGATCCCCTATCCCCAACCTCCCGTCCAGCCAGGCCTTCTGTTTGCAGTCCTCAAACTGAGCTCACCTGAACTTGGGAAATAAGGCCACAGCCTGACCCTGGACAGCGACAGCTTTCCTTCCCCCTCTCCCTGCATCAGAACCAAACTGGCAGGGTGCGTGTGCCCAGCATGGGTTCTCCCTTGGCTTCCCACACCACTAAGTCTGGCCCACTGGATGCTCAGTTAAAAGGATACACGAAGAACCAGGCGGTAAAGAACATGCCAATGGCCAACAGCACCACAGTCAGATGGGGGAAGACAGCCGGGTTCACTGGGCTGGTGTATCTGCTCATGGCCTCGAGCTCCTAGGGGAGGGCGGGGGGGTCAGAGCTATTGGAGAATCCCAGGACTTCCCCGTGAGGGGGAGTGTGAGGTCATCCATCGATGGGCCGCATCCTGCAATGACTGTTAAAGGTCACTTTCGGCCTGGGAAACACGGAAATCCTTCAGAACCAACATCAAGTGACTCCATTTGGAAATGACAACAATTACATCTTAAACTGACGTGACACTGGGTCTTTTTAAGATGAGACAAGAAGGGCAGCTGAGAGTCAGAAGCTGACACAGAAGGTGATTGGTTAGCTATAGATCAGTGGTCCCTAACATTTTCTGAGGCCAGTGAGGACTATGGAAAAAAAAAAAGGTGATAAAAGGTATGGACTCTGCCTGGAAAAAAAAAAACACATGCAACAAAAAGTCTGCCTATAATTTTAGGAGCTTTACGGACCATGTCCTGGAAGTCAGAGCCCAGACCAGGACTCAGATCTCAACTTCTACCTCTGTATTCTTCCCACTACACTATTAAGGAGTCTCGGCATCCACCGGCCAAAGACATCGGTTAATAAACTGGCTCTCCCGAATGAGTCTCTGTAAAGGAGTCATAACACCCCTCGCAGGGCTGATGGAGGGTTTCAGAAGGGTGACGAATGTCAAAGCATCTAGCTCACTTCCTGGCACAAAGCGGTTGGTTCCACAGGTGTTTGTTTCCTTCCCGTGGTTACAGGGAAGATTATGAGCTAATGCTAGGGAAGGAGGGGCTGTAAACGTAAAGTTCTGTACAAATGTTAATTCCCATTGTCACTCACCAGCCAACGCTCCTAAAATCCCGAACATAACAACTCTAGAGCAATAAATCAACCCCATTGTTCTAAGAGACACTGGAATTCAATTCAGTAAACATTTATGCCGCCCCCCCCCCCCCAAATGATAAAGACAATCGCTGCCATTTATGAAGCCTCCAATCGCAGGCCCTGTGTTTGGCGCTGGGAATACAAAGATGAATAGACATCACCCCAGAGCTAACTGCACGTCAGATGGTGGTCACTAGGAGGCGTGGCAGATAACAAAGAAGTCCGTGACATGTGGCAAGATGTCTGTACGTGGGTTGTGGGAGCTCCCAGGAAAGAGAGCGGCCAAGTGCCTGAGAGAGGGAAGTGCTTCACCAAGAAGGGGACATCTGTCGTGGACCTTGTAGGATGAGTACGAGATCCGCAGGAGGGAGAACCTTCCAAACAGAAATAACGGCTTGATCACAGGTAACAGATAAAAGCTCGAGGTGTTAAAAATGCACCGCAAGAGGGTCACCCTTAAAAATCGCGGGATCAAAACCTCAGCCTAACTTAAGAGTCCGTGACAAGGGGCTTCCTTCCCTTCCCGCCCCTCAGCCCAAGCCGGATATAGGAGCCCCCCGCTGTCTGGATCTCGGGCGTCTGAGACCTTCGCGAGAGAAACGGGGGTAGGACAGGCCCCGCGGGGGTCATCATCACAGCCCTGTTCGGAACACCCCTGAACCCTCTCACCATTTTGCCAGCCAGGTACAGGGCAATCCACCGCTCCGCCACAGGAATAACACGTAGGCAGGAGCAGGCGCCTTATTCAGGCGGAAGAGGAAGTGCGCCCGCGCGCATGGCATCGTGGGATTTGTAGTCCTGTGGTTTCCGAGGTAGCGGGAGCCGGGGCCTGTGGGGCCCTGACGTGGAGTTGGGGCAAGCAGTGGAGAAGGGTAGGGCAGAACCGCTGGGAGGGTTCGTTGCCCCCCGCGGGGGTACTGTTTTCAGAAGGGAAGCTGGCCGAGGGCGTCTGGGCCTGCACTACGCTTCCCGGGAGGCTGTGCGCGGCGGCGGGTCACGTGATGGGAGCGCGGGCTTTGGAAGGCGGCGGAGCGGGAGTGCGTCCGCAGCGGTGCTGAGCAGCTTACGGGGCCGGGCACGGTCCTGGGCGACACCGGACTAAGCGCTAGCTGTCGAGGAGGCCTTGGGCCCTAAAGGCCAGGTAAGACCCCACGGGGAGCACCTCCGAGGGCGGCGGAGTCCTTCCGGCGCTGGGTGCTGGGGGCACCGTCCGCCGCGCGCGGGGCACAGGCCGGAGCGCGGGCCTGCCGCCTTCCAGCTGTGCGACTTGGGCCGGTCGCCGAAGCAACGAGCCACTTACTTCGTTCGTGGAAGGCGGGAAATAGCCTCCTCTTTCTGAGCCCGTTGTGTATTTTAACCGAGATCCTGGCTGAGAAACGTTTTGTAAACTTCACCGGCTGCCACCCCTTTCCCGCCTCCCTGGGTCGGGGGCCGTGGGAGGCTAAGCCAGCAGGCACTGTCCCCTCCGTGCGCATTCTGGCAGAGCTGCCGGCCTGAGGCCGGACCCCGAGGATTGAATGGCTTGTGTGGGAGGAAGGATTCCGAGCGCCCAGTTATGCCTGGAGCTGGAGGGCGCCGCTGAGCGGCAGTGAGAAAGGGCAAGCCTTATCCCAAGCTTTGTGTGGGCCCCCAGACTGCGAGGGCAGGGCGGGAAGCAGAGCCTGGAAGATCTTGACGCCAGGTGGAGGTGTTTGGACTTGAGCAGAAGGGGGTATGTGACAGCGTCATTTATGCTTTAGAAAGAACGCTTTGAAACGTGGGAACAACTAAAAGGTCTAGTATATTTCTTGGGAGTGTCGAACATGTACCACCTGTGAGCAGGCAGTGACTTTAAATGGCACCCCGAAATCCTTTTGAATAGTTAAACATTTAGTATTAAACTATAACTACTATGACACGGACATTATTGCTTAAGGTGAGCTCACTTTTTCAACTCGGTTTTTAAAACTGGTGGTGTCCATTTAAAGAAAATATTAAGTGAATACAAGTACAGGGTTGGGCTTTTTTTATTTTTTAAATTTTTTTAGCGGTTATTTATTTTGAAAGAGAGAGGGACACAGCACGAGTTGGGGAGGGGCAGAGACAGAGGAGAGAGAGAATCCCAGGCAGGCTTTTCATACTGTCAGCACAGAGCCCAACGTGGGGCTCGAAGTCACAAAACTGTAAGATCATGACGTGAGCCAGGATCCAAGAGTTGGACACTTAACCAACTGAGCCACCCAGGCGTTTCCCCGAGTAGAGGTTTTAGAAGTGGCAAAAAATTGTGAGGAGCGGGGGGGGGGGGAGCTGACCCAAGTTCAGGAAACACTGCCCTAGGAACTATTTTTCAAGGGGCCTAGAACCACAGAAGTGTGTTACTGGACAGAGCGACTGCAGCTTGCCAGGCTCCTAGATCAGGACCTGGGGTCAGGTGGGAGCCATGGAGTTCTCGTTCCAGACTCAGTGGTGGAGAGAAAATACAAAGGGAAAGACTTAAACCTCTGTGCAGCATCATGGTGGAAATAGAAACCAGTAGCAGGGCTGAGGGGAGACCGAAGGGACCCTCGGAGCAGCATGTGAGAAAGCCACATACCTCCCTTCAGATATGTTGTTTCAGGGCTGCTCTATCAGTCAGGGTCCACCAGAGAAACAGTAGGATCCAGGGTCCAGACATATATAAAGAGATTTACTGTAAGGAATTGGCTCAGGTCGTTGGAGAGGTTGGCCAGTTTGAAAACTAGAGGGCTGGCCCGGAGGCTAGAAACTCTTGCAGGAGCTGAAGCCGCAGCCTTCAGGCAGAATTTCTTTGGGAAATCTTCATTTTTGCTCCCAAGGCCTTTCAGTTGATCGAATGAATGAGGCCTACCCATATCCTTCAGGGTAATCACTGTTTGTTTTTCCTTTTTTTCTTCTTTTTTTTTTAACATTTATTTATTTTTGAGAGACAGAATGTAAGTGCGGGAGGGGCAGAGAAAAAGGGAGACACAGAATCCAATGCAGGCTCCAGGCTCTGAGCTGTCAGCACAGAGCCCAACGCAGGGTTTGAACTCGTGAACTAGGAGATCATGACCTGAGCCAAAGGCGGACACTTAACCGACTGAGCCTCCCAGGTGCCCCGGGTAATCTCTGTTTAAAGTCACCCGAATATTGGGCCATTTGGGTGGCTCAGTCAGTTAAGCAGCTGACTTTGGCTCAGGTCATGATTTCGTGGTTTGTGGCTTCAAGCCCCGCGTCAGGCTCTGTGCTGACAGCTCGGAGCCTGGATCCTGCGTCGGATTCTGTGTTTCCCTCTCCCTCTGCCACTCCCTCCCCAACTCATGCTCTGTCTCTTTCTGTCTCAAAAATAAACATCAAAAAAATAAAGTCACCTGAATATAGATGTTACAAAATGCCTTCACAGCAGCACCTGGATTAATGTTTGAGTAAATAATTGGGTGCTGCAGCCTAGCCACTGTTGACACATGAAACTAACCATCACAGCTGCTAAGAGGAGGGGAGCCAGAGGGACAAGCTGGGGATGGTCAGTGACTGGCATAAAGGTACAGAGGAGGATGGACACTCGTGTTTATTTTACCACCATACACGTTCAGCCGTGTACCATGCTTGCCTTTGTCCCCGTCTCACTCGTCATCTTCGGTTGGCCAGTCTTCGCCTGTCCTTCAGGTCCTGTCTTTATGGCCCATGGACGTCTCGGCCTGGGCCGGGCACTCTCCTCTGGACTTGGAGGGGCCTTGACGTCAGTTGTAGCCCCTACTGCCTGCTAGCCCTTTGCTGCCTTATCCACGAAACCTTAAGTCCCCGACATCGGCAGTGTCTTAATCTTCCCAACACCCAGTTTTCCTCCTGATACTCAGGAAGCCTTAGTATTAATGGAGTGGCCTCCCTTGCTCGCCTGTAACGTCCCTCAGAATGGTGACTTTGTCCTCTGCCATCTTTTCATCTTCTCTGGGCCCTAAGTGGTGTCCTTTTTTGTTGTGCTCAGTTTGCTCAGTCAGAGGCATGGGAGCTGGTGAGCTGGCACCGGGTCTAACCCCTGCTCCTTCGCCTCCCTGGAATTCCTCCTTTTCTCACTTTACCCCTTTCTTTTTTCTTTTTTCTTTTTTTTTTCCAGCCGTCTCTCCTCTCTCTTGCTATGGGGATTCAGGGCCTGGCCAAGCTGATTGCTGACGTGGCCCCCGGTGCCATCCGGGAAAATGACATCAAGAGCTATTTCGGCCGCAAGGTGGCCATCGATGCCTCCATGAGCATTTATCAGTTCCTGATCGCCGTCCGCCAGGGCGGGGACGTGCTGCAGAACGAGGAGGGGGACACCACCAGCCACCTGATGGGCATGTTCTACCGCACCATCCGCATGATGGAGAACGGCATCAAGCCTGTGTACGTCTTTGACGGCAAGCCGCCGCAGCTCAAGTCGGGGGAGCTGGCCAAGCGCAGCGAGCGGCGGGCCGAGGCCGAGAAGCAGCTGCGGCAGGCTCAGGCTGCCGGCGCCGGGGACGAGGTGGAGAAGTTGACCAAGCGCCTAGTGAAGGTCACCAAGCAGCACAACGACGAGTGCAAGCAGCTGCTCAGCCTCATGGGCGTCCCGTACCTGGACGCGCCCAGTGAGGCTGAGGCCAGCTGCGCCGCCCTCGCGAAGGCTGGCAAAGTCTACGCCGCCGCCACAGAGGACATGGACTGCCTGACCTTCGGCAGCCCCGTGCTCATGCGGCACCTGACGGCCAGCGAGGCCAAGAAGCTGCCCATCCAGGAGTTCCACCTGAGCCGGATCCTGCAGGAGCTGGGCCTCACCCACGAGCAGTTCGTGGACCTGTGCATCTTGCTGGGCAGCGACTACTGCGAGAGCATCCGGGGCATCGGGCCCAAGCGGGCCGTGGACCTCATCCAGAAGCACAAGAGCATCGAGGAGATCGTGCGGCGCCTTGACCCCAGCAAGTACGCCGTGCCGGAAAACTGGCTCCACAAGGAGGCCCAGCAGCTCTTCCTGGAGCCCGAGGTGCTTGACCCGGCGGCCGTGGAGCTGAAGTGGAGCGAGCCGAAGGAGGAAGAGCTTGTCAAGTTCATGTGTGGCGAGAAGCAGTTCTCTGAGGAGCGAATCCGCAGCGGGATCCGGCGGCTGAGCAAGAGCCGCCAGGGCAACACGCAGGGCCGCCTGGACGACTTCTTCAAGGTGACTGGCTCGCTCTCGTCAGCCAAGCGCAAGGGGCCGGAGCCCAAGGGATCCGCCAAGAAGAAGGCGAAGCCCGGGGCAGCCGGGAAGTTCAAACGGGGAAAATAAAGTCGTTTCCCCTCACACCTCCCGGGCCCCAGAGTGTCGGCCTCTCTGTGTCCTTGAGCGCCCACCCCGGGGAAAGCTCTGTGGGGGTGGGGGCGGGGGGGGGCTCGCTGCTTCCCCTTCCCGATAACGCTTTCCCTTCTCTACTTGATCTTGCGGCTGGAAGGCCACAGAGGTACTTTGTTTTCTTCTCTTTTAGCTCAGGAAAGTGTGTCAGGCTCCTAACACCTCTCAGGCAACTTAATGGACACTGAGCCTCTTGTTAAATGAAAGGGATAGTAACAGGTTTCGAAGAGGGAGCGGGGGATAAGCGGTAGAGACAGAAGTCTGTAGAAAAGTGATTTCCTGACTGGCCCCACTGGTGGCTGATGGGAAGGGGGGTGGTGGCACCAGACTGTGTTTCTCTCTGGCCCAGCCTTGACCGGCCCTGTAGGACACGCATCCAGAAGCCCCAGTCTTCTCAGATGGGGAGATTTCCTGAGAGGTAGGACGGGTGGGGAGCTGGGGTCCCCAGAGTTGGCCACAAGGGTCCGGCCACTGGCTGCGTGTCCTGGGGTGGGCGGAAACTGAAACCTGCTATGTAACTTGAGCCTTCACAGTGGTCCTTTAGAGGCATAAGATGGCCAAATGCTAATGGCTTCTCTGAGGCAGTCACCCGAGTTGAGACTTGGGGATGAGATGCTTATTTTCATGTGCTGTTTTTGTTTTAAATGTGTGAACAAAAGAGTCAATAAAATTATAAAAGTGGCCAGAATGTCACGTTCTTTTTTTTCTTCCGAGAGAGAGACAGCATGAGCAGGGGAGGGTCAGAGAGAGAGAGTTACAGAATCTGAAACAGTCTCCAGGCTCTGAGCCAGCTGTCAGCACAGAGCCCGACGCAGGGCTCAAACCACGAACTGTGAGACCATGACCTGAGCTGAAGTCGGACGCTCAACCAACTGAGCCACCCAGGTGCCCCCAGAATGTCACGTTGTTTAAGAACATTCAAAAACATCTCGAAGGGCACCTGGGTGGCTCGTCGGCTGAGCGTTCAACTTCGGCTCAGGTCACGATCTTGCATCTTGTAGGTTCGAGCCCTGCGTCCTCTCTGCCGACAGCATAGAGCCTGGAGCCTGCTTCGGATTCTGTGTCTCCCTCTTCCTCTGCCCCTCCCCCGTTCACACACTGTCTCTCCCTCATATAAATAAACATTAAAAAAACCCCAACAACATCTTGAGTGCCCCCAGGCTTCAGGCAGTAGGTAAGGTTCTTTGCACTGCCGGGAAAACATGCAGACGATGTTCAGGCAGTAGGTAAGGTTCTTTGCACTGCCGGGAAAACATGCAGACGATGTACATGTACCAGGTTCCAAGAGGTGTGAGAGTGGCCACTAGATGGCGCCACACTCCACAGAATGACCAAAGTGGCCTTGGCAGTAGGGAAGCCATTTGTAGGTGGACACCTAGTTTAACTTGCTGGGAAAGAAGTTTTAATAAACCGAACGCGTTCCTAGTTCTCCACCTGCCATGTGAGATAAAAGAGCTTCTCGGAGAAAGCCTCACAACCACCTCACAGCATCCGAGCATCTACCAGTTTATAAATCGTTAAAAACTGCACTTCAGAAGTCACTTTCTTGTCCCTCTTGTGACATCAAGTTCAGGTTGCTGTTTCCAGTAGAGATGGGATGTTTCACGAGTTGTATCATCCTGATAAAATTCGGCAAGGCACTGTCCTGTTTTGAGTCTCCACTTAGCATTCCTGTCACTGCTGGTTAAAGTTAACAGGGACACTTCAGCGATCAGAAATCTAAGCCGCTCGTGTTCCAACAGGTTAAGCAGGGACTGCTGTTTTCAAGATTTCTCATGGAGCAGCATGTTTCTCAAGTGAAGTCTTACATGGGGGGGGTCTCAGGATATGAGCTCTGGTTGAAGCAGGAGCGGGATATACTCTCCCCAGCAGTGCTCTCATAACTGGGGGGGACCCCGAAAACCACTGGTATAGACAGAAAGTTCTGTTTGAGGACAGGGATCTTCATTTTAGTCACTGCCATCTCCAGCAGTTGTAATGGATTTTCTCAGATGGGACCACACCACATAAGTAACAAGAAGGCTGAGTAATTTGATTCTAAGCCCGTGGTTCTGGGGACGGGGCTCCAGAGGCGGAAAGGTGCCTAGGGAGCGACCACCTCAGTTTAGTAGTTAAGGGCTGGTACCCTGTGGCAGTCAGAACATGCAGGGCGGTTTTTCCCCTTGTGTTCCCAGTTTGGCTTCTCTGGTCTTTTCTAGAAGTTTAAGCACCGCACGCTGCAGGGGAAACCAGTTCTACATACTTTTACTCGCATGTTCTAATATTCTTGCTCAGAGAGAGCTGTCACGATAGGATTGAGGTTAGAAAGGCATTGTGCCTGCAGGGAAAGATTTGGGCAGAAAGGAGACCTTCTAGGGAAGACTCATCCTGAGTCTAGAAAGTTCCAAAGGGCAGAATGCCTGCCTGGTGTGTCCGGCAGCCAAGCACTTGAACACAGGGGGCATGAGAAGGGCTTCCTTGCTGTAGCCCACCCGTGCCCTGTTTTTTCGGAGGATCCTGGTGTTTATCTGCCCAAAGGCCTTGTGCGAAGGGGGGTCTGGGGACCCCTGGTCAGAAAGAGCCGTACAGGTAGGCAGGAACATTAAGAGCTCAGGCCTGGGGACTCCCACTCACAGATGCATGAGCGCCTGGTGGATTGCAAGTGAACACAGCCTTCAGTTGGCCAAAATTAACTTTATTTTTCAGTTTTACTTTGAGACGGTGGTAACAAAATTGGCACAAAGGACACAGATGTGGAGCCTAATCAAAGAAACAAGGTGCACACAGAGGGCGGAACTCTAAAACACGGAGTTCAAATGTTAGTTTCTCCACAGTCCATGACTGGAGGTGACTTGTAGCCTTTAAGCCTGTTTTCTCGGGTCGCTGCTTGGACTTGAAATCACTGTTACTGTTGCGAATGGTCTGAGCCTTTGGTCACTGGGGTGTCCCTCTGTGGCCGTGTGACACCACACTGCTCTGGGTTAAGGACGGAAGGCCACGGTGGTTGCAGTGCTTTGAGGGCCCGGCCTTGGCTCAGTAACGTGTCACCGGATTTGCGCAGGTTGGCAGCCAGGCGGCTTGACGGGCTGGTGACCCCGCACTGAAACCCGAGGTAGCAGGGGGCCGGGGGCGGGCCTGGTGGGCCGGGGAGGGGGGAGGGGTCAGCACCTATTTGGAGTGAGGAAGCCAATGAAAGTAGAACGTTTCCATTCTACTTCTCATTTTTCTACCCACGCAATTTTAAACCAGGTTCTGGCCAAATGGAAAAGATCCGAGGGGGCTCTTGAAACCCGTCTTCCCCATGTTGTTGTCTCTTTGAGCTTTGTTTTGACAAACCTCTGAGTGATCCCAACAGCCACTGATGGCACCTCAAACCCCATCCCAACTTGCCTTAAGATGATCTTTATTCTCTCCTAAAACTAAACGCAGACTTTCCTGGGGCTTTTTTTCCTTCTACTTCTCTCTATCCACACTGCTCAACGTGCTTAGAGTAGATGCCGTTGGACGGGCATCTAATCCCCTCATCGGCACTGGAAGGTCGCAGGTGGGAGGAGGGAAGACGTGTGAGTGCGGATTGACAAACCCTGGCAGCTAAGGCAAGACTCCTGAGCACATTCCTCTGTTCAGTCTACAGATGGGTTAACCGGTTAAGAACCAGGAGATTAAAAAATGATCTTTCAAAATTAGACTGGTGGGCTTTTTAAGAGATTATCCTAAATTCCCACCTGGTCTCCAGCTGGGAAGGTTGCTTCAACAGCCGAAGGTTGGTAGTTCGCAAACTTCTGTGCGTTTTTTTATCTTCCTATCTCTGGTTTAGAACTGGGCAGTGATCCTATTTAACTCACTGTTCCTACTCAGAAGGGATAGTGTAACATAAGTTAGCTTGTAGAGAACGTCTTACAGCCCTTCTGTTCTCTATGACTGCAATCTGTGTTCCTCGATTCCAAGTCTCCCAACGTGGTCAACTTGTGCTAACTCCCATATTAAACTTGGAATTAATTACCGAATAATTCCAAGTTTAATACAGGCAATACAGTTTAATGCAGGTAGGGAGGCAAAGGGAAACCACTGGGGCCCTCCATTTGTTTCTAGGGGGGAGAGGACTCAGTTGCCCCCGTGGTCACTAGCTTGTGGATCAAGAAGTGGACGCTCCGGGGCACCTGGGTGGCTCAGTCGGTTCAGCGTCCGACTTCAGCTCAGGTCATGATCTCACGGTTTGTGGGTACGAGCCCCGCATCGGGCTCTGTGCTGACAGCTAGCTCAGCGCCTGGAGCCTGTTTCAGATTCTGTGTCTCCCTCTCTCTCTGACCCTCCCCTGTTCACACTGTCTCTATTTAAAAAAAAAAGGACGCCCCATCCCAGGAGGGTCCTGTTCCTTGGGTGGCAGTTACACGAGGTGAACCCAAGGTGAAGAAGCCCAGAGACTCTTCCTGCCGTTCTGGGAAGACGGAGGACCTGGATGGAACAGGGGCTCAAAACCGGCAGTGCCACGATCCCCTACAGTCAGATGTTTCGTTGCCACAGTCCTGGCCTTTGTCCTGCCCGCTTCTGGAAGTGCTTCTCCAGCTGCCTGAGGCAGACCTAGGTCCACCCTAGCCCTAGAGTTAGCTACGCCAGGCCTCAAATCTAAGCACCAATACTTCCTTCCTAAATCCTGCTCCAGAAGGTTCCACTGCTCTAGCTGCTGCCACCAGCCTGCGAACCTCTGAGGCGTGCATGTACGTGAGAGTGGAGAAGGCACAGAGAAGTGGACTGGTGAGATGGGCTCAGCCCTTTCCTGGCTGCAAATCTGTTTGTTTCTTAATGTTTATTTGTTTCTTTTGAGAGAAAGAGAGAGAGAGAATCCCAAGCAGGCTCTGTGCTGTTAGCGCAAAGCCCAGTGTGGGGCTCCGTCTCATGAACCGTGAGATCATGACCTGACCCAAAATCAAGAGTCTGATGCTTAACCGACTGTGCTCCCCAGGCGCCCCCTGGCTGGAATTTTAATGCTAATTTTCTTCCTGATCTCTGGGCTCAGCACGTGCTCCCTAGTCTTCCAACACCCTCTGCCTCCCTCTTTGCTCACCAACCATCTGTATCTGCCAAACTAAAGAAACAAAAACAGTCACATCTCTGCCCCATCAGCCTCATCCCTCCTTCCAGAGGGCATGCTCGGTCCCCTATCCCTTTGGGTCTTAGATCTCTTCCTGGAAGATAAAGGGGAGGGGTTTGAGTCAGCGTCTCCGTCTCCTCAAACCCACACCCCCTCGGAATATTAGAAGTATAGTGGCATTGTCCCTTAAGCTCCCCTCCGCTCTGGTGCAGGAACACCCCTTCCGGGTGGGCTGGTGTGATCAGTGAAGATGGGCAGCATTTCCAGATGGGGGGAGGGGTGGTGGTTGTTACTGGTGAAGATAGGCATCTAGCCAGAGCTGCCCAGACTCCTTCAGTGAGCTGTGGGGGCAAGTTGGGAACAAGCAGTGAGAGAGAGAGAGGGCAGGGCTAAGCCCAAAAGCCAAACCACCGTACAGAAGGGGTGTAGTGAGCCGCTTACAGAGGTATGGAGGGCCGATCTCCATGCATGTGGCCCCTTTCTTCCCCTTTGCTTCTGTGACAAGGCTAGGGCCATGGCATGGACGGCCAAGGCCTGACTTGGCCAACAAGACCAGCGAGGCACCCTGCCTTTGTCTTGGTGGCCTCCATTCCAGAGGACAGGGGACACCCACCTGTTGCTCCCACCCTACAGCCACCTTCCCAGGCTCAGGTACTCACTAGACGATGTCAGCGAAGGCTGAGAACAGGGGCTTGGACTGGTACTCTATGCCATGCTTGGCACACAGGGACCGCACCAGGGGGGCCACCTTATGGTAATTGTGTCGCGGCATCGTGGGGAAAAGGCTTCAGGGAGAACGGGACAGTCAGTGGCTCTAACTCCTCACTTCCCACCTCCCTGCTTGCCCCCCGCAGACCCTCCCAAGGGCCCTGCTTCTCAGGGACCCCTACGTACTGGTGCTCAATCTGGAAGTTGAGATGTCCGCTGAACCAGTCATTGAAGGCAGACTTGTGGACGTTGCATGTCGCCTGGAGCTGGGAGAGGGCAGGGGGGAGCGTGGCTCTGCGTGCCGCACGTGAGGGCCAGCAGAGCAGGCCGAGAGGAGGGGGTGTGGGACTGGCCCTGGCCACTCTGTCCTCCATGTGGCGGCAGGATAGGAGCCTCAAGCTCATGAGGCAGTGCTGTCGGGGGACTTTTGGTGTCGCTGCCCCCGGCCCCTCACGTGCCTCTGTGCCCACCCACCCTTTGGATTAGCTGCGTTATCCCTAGGTCTTCCAAGCGGCCGTCCCTTACCTGGGTGGAGACCCAGTCCATGTTCCGGTCGTGATCGATGTGCATGGGGATGTGGTTCATCTGTGTGACCCACACAAACCAGTTGCTCTCCAGGAACCTGGTGGAAATGGTGCTCAGACGAGCACAGTACAAGTCAGGGCCCTTCCTCTCCCCCCAGGCTACCGCTCTAGCCTGGCCATCTTCCCAGGCCAGCACCTGAAACACCCCCGGCCTCTTAAGGCCCCAGCACGGCCCCCACACCAGACCCGTGACTCCGCCTTTTCCTTGCCACGCGCCCCCCTTCGCCATCATACTACCTGACCATGAAGAAAAGGACCAGGAGGCCTTTCAGTCCCAACAATGGCATGTAAGTGAGGGATAAGCGGACATAGAAGCTGATCATCCAGGCCAAGTCCTGCGTGGAGAGGCAGAGGGCATTACGACTGGCACAAAGCACTTCCTCCTCCCCCTTTCGCTTCACCTGTTTGCACGGTCCAGCCGTTCTGCCGGGTGCCCGGACTGGAGCGCCTGTCCGCCGCTCGCAGCTGCCCGGCCCTGCGCCATCTAGTGCCACCCATCCCTCATCCCAGTCCTGGCGGGCAGCCTCCAGCCCCCCTCCCGTTTCCCACACAGCGCCAAGGCCCCTCCACCTCCAGCTCCTCCTGACCCACTGAAGTTCTTTATCCCTTCATCATGCTGCCAAATGAATCTTCCGGGACTGACCAGTGCCCACTGATGTCCCCAACACGTCCACTGGCCAAGTTTGCCCCTCCCTTCCCGGCTTCTCCCCGCAGGGTCCATCATCGCCCCACCCCACCCCCTGCCTATCCCCCTAGGCCCGCTAGAAGGAACTTTGCGAAGCCTCTTCCGACGCCTCTCATCCAGCCAGAGGCAGGCAGAGGCCCTTCTGGACTCTCAGAACCTTCCGCTTCTACCTCTTCTCTGGTGTCAATGACATCCGTTTTGTCAGAAATCTCCTGAGAGAAGGTGCTGCCGTTTCTTACTCACCTGCCCCCCCACCCCTCACCCCCAGCCTGGCCCCGGCTTTCCGCTGAGCTCGAGGACCTCGGGCACTGGGGGTCAGGGTGTCTGCGGAGCCTGGGTCACCCAATCTAGAGCCAAGGAAAGCCTGTACTTGGTCCTATTACTTTGCTCTAAATTAGGCCCAGGACAGATCGCGGTGGGGTCTCCTCTGGGGAACCCCGTCTCCCCCTCTCAGGGCACTGAAGACCAAAAACGTGAGGCTCTGGAGCCATGGATACTCACCACCCACTTCTTCCGCTGGAAAACAAAATAGAAAATATACCACTGGAAGTAGAGAGGCAGCAAGGCTGGAGGCCCAACTGGGGAGGAAACGGAGACAGGGAGGAGGCGTGAGCAGCACGGGGGCGGGTTCAGGGCCAGGGAGGTGGCCTCTGGCGCGGGGCTGCCCCCCGCCGTCCACTCCTGCGGCCCCTTCTGGCCACCTTGGCATTCCTTGTTTGGTCCATTGGCACCGGCCGGCACTGCGGGTGGGCACGAATGCGAGTCTGAAGAAGGCAGCACCTCCCAAGACGATGCCAGGACGGGGTGGGGCGGGAGGAGCCGTCCTTTCCAGGGGAGGAAGGCAGCTGGGAACAGCTGGATACTGGCCCCGCCTATCCTCACAGTCAACCGCCCTGTGTTCCTGGCTGCTCTGCGGTGCCGGTGAAGGGACAGGAGCAGGAAAGTCTGTGTGTGTGCTGGGGTAGTTGGGGGTGGGGGGGGAGATGGGGGGGCGGGCCCTGCCGGTGCTTCCCAGGCCGAAAGCTCACTTCCTGGGACTGGGGACATGCGCCTAACCCTGGCGGTCAGGGGTGGGAGTTGAAGAAGTCCCACCTGCAGGCCCATTCCCTTTTCCATAGCCCTTCTCTGCCGGGCCCCAATGCCTACCCATAACCCCCTGCGTCACAGGGCTCACCCGCGGCTCATCCGTCCCCATGTCCTTCCCCACGTGCCGTGGATTCTAACATTCGTCTCCAGGAGTGACGGTTATGTAATAGGCAGTTAGGGAAAGTTCTTTTGAACTAAAATGGGATCAACAGAATCCTCCCCTCCCTTCCTTTAAAAATCTGAATTCTTAGAGGAATTCTAAAACTCCGATTTTAGGCATCAGGGAGATTTGAAAAGCAAAGAACAGAGCAGTCTTCAGAAGGACCTGAAGACGGCCGCAGGAAACATCCTCCTCTTCCTCTCTACGTGCTCCTCTGCTTCCTTTCTGAGTCCCGTCCTCCCTGAGGCCCATCTATCTCTATCCCCCGGGGTGTTGGGCTGTGCCCCACTGAGTCACCTTGACGTAAGTCTGTTTCACAAGGTCTGAGATGCGGTTTAAGGTTTGATCGGGATGGCTGCACCTGACCACTCAATTCCCTTGCGAAAGCCAGGGTGGGACTGGAGGAACTAGTCTGACCCCGGCACCAATGCCATGTGACCAAACAGTAGCCTGTTGATGCTGCCTCAGGTGAGCAGGGAGGAACCTGCTGGGGACACGGGGCTTCCTCCAGCCGTTACTCAAAATGTCCTAAGCCTTCACAGAGCCGCTTCTTCCCCACATCCCTGCGGCTCCCCGATCCTGAGACAGTCCCCCCACCCCCTGCGCTGGGGGATGACACTCACTCAGGAAGAAGTATTTGTGCTGGTGGTTGTACGGCATGTACTTTTTCTTTTGTTTCCCAAGCTGGGGAGAAAAGCAAACGCAAATCAGCACCCACAGACCAGTCCCCCGTTCTCCTCCCGCCGTGACCTCAGCTTTTCCCTGCTCAGGAGCTCAGGCTCATTCCAGGGGCCTGGAAGGCTCCAGCAGGCCCAGCCTCGCCTCCATCCAGCACCTGGCACGTGAAGGCCTGGGCTGTGATAAGCCAGGTGCACCACACCACTGCACGCGGCTCGATGGCCTGGGCCCACATAGGGCACGACTGCAGCAGTGCCTATGGGCCCTCAGGAGCCCCCACGTTCATCCAAAGACGCCCTGTCATCAGGTGTCCAGGCCCCTCCACGTCCTCCCCATTCTTTTCCTCCATCTGGTACTCCTTTGGCCTCAGGCTCCACAGACGACCATTTATACCCCTACACAGGTCAGTATTCCCTCTGCATCCATCCATCCATCCATCCATCCATCCATCCATCCCCTCTGTGGCTGTCTGGGCTTCAACGTGAACGTTGTAAAATCACCTTGAATGCAAAGGGACATTGGGCAAATGTTTGCGGGAGGGATACCAAGAACAACTTGGCAAGTCTGAAGGTTCTGGCAAGGCGTTTCTGGGCAGGGGTTATTTTGTTAAGCCTAGCTGTGGCACAAATGCTCTGGTCAGCCTGGCACTGCTCGTGCGGGCACCCAGGATCGTGACAGCCAAGCTCCACCATCTCCCTTAGTGGCTCCTTTTGCCCCTCCTGCCTCAGGTCGTTCTGGCAACCAGATAACTGCCCCTGAGCAGGCCGCCAGCATGTCTTTCTCCCATGCATTCCCCCACTGTTTTGACAATAACATTTATTCTTTTTTTTTTAATGTTTTATTTTTATTTCTAGGAGAGAAAGAGAGAGACAGCGTGAGCAGGGGAGGGTCAGAGAGAGAGGGAGTCACAGACTGAAACAGTGTGACTGAGCTGGCAGTCAACACAGAGCCCGACGCAGGGCTCGAACCCATGAACCGCGAGATCATGACCTAAGCGAAAGTCGGACGCTTAACCGACTAAGCCACCCAGGCACCCCACATTTATTCTTATTTATAGCAAGTTTATTCTGTGCAAGGTGCTTCTGCTAAATGAAACATCCTTTGTTAAAAAAAAATTTTTTTTAATGTTTATTTCTTTTAGGTGGGGCGGGGGGGGGGAGGGGCAGAGAGAGAGGGAGACAGAATTGGAAGCAGGCTCCAGGCTCTGAGCTGTCGGCACAGAGCCCGATGCGGGGTTCAAACTCACAAACCGCAAGATCATGACCTGAGCCGAAGTCAGAGGCTTAACCAACTGAGCCACCCAGGCGCCCTGAAACATTCTTTCTATATTAACTGATTCATTCATCAAGTATTTACTGAGCACCTATTATGTGCCAGGCACTGTTCTAAGTGCTGAAGATTCAGAGGCGAGCAACACAAAGCTCCTACCCTTGTGGGGCTTATAATCTGAGGACAGGAAGCTGGCAGTAAATCTGTGAACAGAGCTCAAGGTAATTACATATTAAAAACCGGGAAAATACAGGGTGCTTGAGTGGCTCAGGTCACGATCTCAAAGTTCGTAGGTTTGAGCCCTATGTCAGGCTCTGTGCTGACAGCCTGGAATCTGCTTCAGATTCTGTGTCTCCTCCTCTCTCTGCCCCTCCCCCACTCACACTCTGTCTGTCTCTCTCTCTCAAAAATAAACATTAAAAAAAAAGAAAAAGAAAAGAAAGGGCAGCATGGCTGGGAACTGCAAGCAATGGCAAAGAAAGACAGAATGCCAAGCTAGAACACTAGGGATGGACAATTCACGCTGGACCTCAGAAAGCCCCAGTAAGACCTCGGTAACCACCTCAGGTGTTATTCCAGTGGTGATGGTGAACCACTGGAAGGCTCTCAACAGGTGTAGTATCATCGGCTTTGCACTTTAAAAGGCTCACTCTGCCTGGAGGAGGGGAGGATGAACTGTGGGGGTAGAGACCGTTGCCAGGAGACCAATGAAGAGGCTGTAGTAACCCAACTCCAAGGTGCGCGTGTGTGTGCGTGTGTGATGGGGGGGGGGAGGGAGACCCAAAGCAGTGGAGATGGAGAAAAACGGATCTGGGATGTTTTGGAGACTGTCTTAACCAGGTCTGTGGATGAACCGGGTGTTGGGGTGAGGCTCCCCCAGTCCCAGGCAGCATCACCGAGGGGAGAGCCAGACAAGGAGCACCTGGCCTGTTGGGCAGGGCGCGTGGGAAGAACAACGGTTTCCTACGTGGGAACCGCCCCCGAGGCCCTATTGGCTGCTGCTTCCTTGAATGGCCATCAGATGCTGTTCTGATCCTGGGAGGTGCCCTGTTGTGTTTCAACTCTCAGAGCCAGGAAGGTTGCGTTTCGGGTGAGGTGTCCCCTGCACTTTCCTGTCCTCTAGGGCAGTCGGGAGGCACCGAGGTGGATGCCACAGGGTCGGCATGGGGATGGGCACCCAGTCGAATGACACCCCAGAGGGGCAGAGGCAATTGCCAAGCAGCCTGCGGCCAAGGCATTTGTTAACTGGCTGCCTGTCCTCAGCCTCGTACCTGGACGGAAAAATGTGTCCGGTGGTCCTAGATCATTTTCTATTTCTTGTGTCTGCAAACAGGAGTTTCTTGAAAACCAAGAGGCAATAGAGGCAGTGGTGTGAGAAGGTTCCTTCCACTTAAACTCACACTTTGTTTTTTCTTTTTTGTTAACTCTCTATAGTTACAATAAAAGAGCCACCAAGAGCCACATGTTTGCCTAACAAATAACCCACACTTGCTCTTGAAGTAGCCACTTGAGGCAGGTGGGGCCGGGGCTGAGTCAACATCCGCACACTGCTGACCACAACACAGTGCTGGATGTACAGCAAACCCAGTCCTTGCTTAGGGGGTGGGAAAATTAGGATGTCACAGACAGGCGGGAGCCTCGAACTAGGGGCTCCTGGGGTCAGGACAGCCAGTGTCCTAAGGCCTCTCCACACTGTCCTCATAGCCAGAGGGGGAGGGCAGCCAGGCTACTCGCACTCACTCACTCACTCACTCACTGGTGCCTGGGCTGCAAAGGTGTCGAACAGCTGACTGCGTGGCATGCTGCAATAGCACACAGAGGGCGAGGGGACCTGGCGACACCCGGACGGCGGCCTAGAGCCTCGGCACAAAGTTTCAAAGGAACTTTACAAACCACTCTGCTGGCCGTTCAAAGCCGCCTGCTGCCACTGAGCACTCATCCTTCAGCAACTGCAGTACAGCTTTTGCTCATAACCTCAAGGTGGTAACTCAAACCCAACGCTAACCACCCCGGAAGTCAGGCTGGGGTCAGGTGGGTGGGAAGAATCAGCCAGTGGAAGTTCCAGGCACTGGCCATCAAAGAAGACTAAGACAGTCAGGCTAGCCCTGAACAGGGGAAACTGAGGCACAGGAGGATATCAAAGTGCGGAGGGCCCTGGGGGGATGGGGAAGGTGACTGCCTGGGGTAGGAGTGTCCAAAAACACCCGAGAACGACCAGGCGTCACCCTGAAGGATGACCAGAGATTTCTGCAGGTAACCTCCCGGTCATGCTTTGGATCCCCTGCACGATGTGGTATCTTTTATGCGATAACCGTCTGCAGACGTGAACTCGCCGGGGAGAACGGGGGATTCTGTCCCCGGGCGGCTTATTCACTGCCTGTTGCCTCCCCTGACTGCCAGCCAGCCAGCCTGGCCCCCGTGCCCTACCCACCCTGAGCGCTGCCCCCACAGCGCTCTGTTCTGGCGGCCTCCCATTTGCGAAGGCCTCTCCACCGCCACTTCTACTCACCTCCACGGAGAGGACCTTCCCCAAGGCAAAAAGGAACGGATGCATGTTGATGTCTGGGTCTTTGCGGAAACAGTTGGGCTTGGCATGGTGCTGGAAATGCAAGTGGTTCCACCAACTGGCGGGGGCTCCCTGCAGAGAGGGAGGGCCGTGAGTCCGAAAGCCTAGTGTTCGCCAACCGCCCCTCCCGCCCCCAAGAAACCCAGCATCAACTGGCGTTTCAGGCACCCCTCCCCGCGCCAGTGACCTTCAGATGGCCAATCACGAAATGATGAAACACGTGGTTCCAAGTGGAGGTGCTGAAGACGGACAGGTGGCCGAAATCGTGCTGCAGCCAGCCAGCCTGAGCCTGGGAGAGAGAGGTTAGCACTGACAGCAAAGCCCGCCGGCCCGGCGTCCCACTTGCTGACCTCGGGCGGCTCCTCTGCATCACCCCTCACCCCTGGGAGTGCCCTAAGCGCGTCCCAGAAGGACTAAGGCTCCTGACTCTGGCTCTGCCGCGAACTCGCGTGACAGTGGGGGCAAGCCACTATCCCCTCCCTGCCCTTCGGTCTCCCCAGCTCTGGAGTTCTAGGACTTAGGCTGGGCCGAACCCCCAGACTACGAAAAAGCACCGAGTGACAGACCCAGAGGCGAGGAGAAGGCTCAGCAAATGGGTTGTGCCCTTAGGGCCCGAGCATTTGGAGCATGCTGGGCCACGTGGTGGGGAGGAGAGGGCCAAGCTTTGCTGAGAAAATCAGAATCTGGGCTCTTGGCATGCTTGGGCTGTGGCAGAACCGGCCTAGGAAGTTTCAGAGAAATTCTACAGAAAGAAGGGAGCCCGCGGGGGAGCGGTTGGAGAGGCAGTGCGAAAATGAAGGTGCACACATGGCCAACATGCAGGCAGGAGCCACGAACGACAAGGTATCTCTTGGCACTAACTCTGCCCCGCATCCTCAGCTCCGCCCGGGCACAGGGCCGGGCTCATGACCTCCTACGGCAGACAAGAGCTTTCCCCAGGGACGCGGAGCATGGCCGCGCTCTTGACAACCCAGGTGATGGCTTCTCACTTGAGCCACGCTGAGCAGCACCGCGCACAGGATGAAAGGCACAAAGGACGTCCCAAAGACCCAAAGCGTGAGCCAGCCGGCAACATCCAGCAGCACGATGTGCAGCAGGCACAACAGGAAGAAGACACGGTTGGCCTTCATGAGCCCCATCCGCTCCACGGTGGCCTGCAGCTCCCGGAACTCAGAGATCAGCTCTTTCTGTGGAAGAGCAGAGACGGAGGGGCTGTGGTTCTTCCCAACTGTAACCCGACATTGCTGGAGACCAGGGCCCCTCTTGGGCTCGGGGACCCTCCACCCCCAGGTCATCGTGGGAAGTCCACAGCCTGAGGTAAATATACTACGACACCGAGGAAAGAGGCAGGAGAAAGCGCTCTGGCCTCGTGCCGAGGGTTATGCGGTCCGTGGAGTGCAATGCACTTGATTCAAGGGCTGGCCACATTGCTCAACTGCTCTGAGCCTCAGCTTGCTCATCTCTAAGTGTGTGAGGGTTACACGAGGTCACGCCTGACACAGCAAGTGTTCAACAGATAGGTCGCGGTGGTGGTGGCGGCGGCGGCAGTAGCCTTGTGAGAACTCCAGGGTTCCAAAGCCCTGCCTCCTCGCTTCGGCCTGTATCCCAGCGACCACGCAGGAGGAGCAGGGACCTCAAGCCTTGCAAGTGCTACTGACTGTGGTCACCTAGGAGCCTACTGAGGCCTTCCTTTACTACCCCCTGCCCTGCATGGGACCACAGGTTCTCCGAACGGCAGTCTCACATTTTTTGTGGGCTCGAAGCTGGGCTGCTCTGGAGACAGTTCCCCAATCAGGAGAGAGTTCATATACTTCCTCACGAGGCCCTTGTTGATGTGGAAGGCCACAAAGGGATCCTGCAAGGACAGGGAGAAGACAGACTGGTTAGGAAGCCAGTGCCGGTCCCCCGTGGCTCCTGGAGGGGCTCCCGCCAGGGGCCATCCTCCTGATCCAGCAAGGAGGCCGTATCCAAGTTCAAGCCACTTCCCTGCAGTCCGCTGGCCCTTTGAGGGTGCTCAGACCTTCCCCAGGCGTCCACAGCTCAGGAACACGCCAGCATGTGTGCCAGTGAGAAGGGCACCACACTAAGGAACGGCAAGGGCAGGTAGGGGGACCCTGCAAAGCCCTCTATGCCTTGGCCTTTCCTCCAGGCGCGTCTAGGGACAGCTTTTGCACCAGAATTCGGATACAGGAGAGAAACGACGAGAAGGGATGGGTGGGGCTACAAGACTTGCTGTTTGCTCCCCGACTTTTAAAAACAGACTCTCTCCGAGGCAAAGGTTCTTCATAAAACGCGCTTAGGAAGATTCCCTAAGCCTGAGCTGGGAACCGTTTGCATTCCTACCCCCTTCTCCCAGAGGCCGCTGTTCCCGGGAGGGTTCCATATTTCCTCTAGGACTCTGATCACTCCACCCCCACCCCCGCCTGGGTCCCAGAGCGGCTAATTTTGGAAACCCTAGGTGGGGTAGGCCAGGGGCACCCAGGCCTTTCTAGGGGAACCGGCACTCGGAGGCGGGAGCCGGGGCGGAGCTGGCCTACGGTGGCACCACACATCTGGACCAATCGCCAACCCTGCTGCCCGGCCATTCAGCCCCGGCCCCACATCACACTGTAGGAAGACCCTGCGTCGGCGCCTGCTTCATCCACGCATGCGCTAGCCCACGTCTTCGCCTTCCGGCTGTTGTCCGGGCTTCCCAAGTGGTCACTCGGGTTGGCCATTGCGGCTCCGGCCTTGCTACCTCCTGGCCGGCCGCGTCACTGGGAGGGGCGGGTCCTCAGCCCAAGACTTCTATGCTCCGCTGCGACGAAACGGGAACTCTGGTGGCCCCGGGCGCCCTCCGGGATGGCAAGGGCGGAGGGTGGGGACAGCGGAAGGGGTCGTACCGCTGAACGCGGGACGGGAAAAGGATGTAGGGGGAGGGGGCGCGGCGAAAGAAAGGCTCCACGGGTCCAAAGGGGCGATCACTGGCTCTCCAAATATGCAGGAGGCGCCAGTTGCCTTAGCTCGGAGAGCAGGTGGTCTAGAAAGGGAAGGGCAGGCCTGGAGCTGGGTGCCGCGCGGACCCCATAGTGGGGCCCGAAGGAGGAGGAAGGATGCGAACCACAGCCTAGGAATGCAATGTGCTGTCCGCCGCCGCGGCGTAGCTGGAGACCCCGCTGGCCTGCGGCCGCGTGACCTCCCCACAGGCTTCGAGGACAGCTCCGGGGGTCCTCGCTAAATGTATGCTGACACAGCCCCCGCCCCCCACCTTCTGCATGCCGCCCCATTATCCCCTGTGCACCAGCAGTCGTCAGTCCTCTCCGGCCGGTGAGGCCCCTCCTTCACTGTGCGGGGATTCCCAAGGCAGCAGGCGCCCCCAACCCGGCGGACGTCAAGTTATTTTCCACCTCAACCCCATCCCCGAGAGTGCTTTCCTCTCCTGCTCCCGCTCGCAAGCCCGCACGCGCAGTCTAGACGCCGCGGCGCTCCCTTCCCACCCGCGGAGACACGGGTCGAGACTCCCTCTCCCTGCCACCGACCCCTCGTCCCTCGGCCCCCGCAGCACCGCCGTCCGCGGCACCCTGTGCATCCGGGCTCTCCTCCCCACCCGTCCCGCTCTGGGCCCTGGCTAAGTCTGGACATCGCAGACGGAACGCACGCAGGGCGGCGCAGTCCTTTGTTTGTGTGGGCACGTTGCCGGCCTCCATCTCCGCTCTCCTGACTCGTTTTCACAGCCATTCTCCCGCCCTTGCATCCCGTGCTCGGACGCGGGCAACGGGTACGCTCGGCGCCTCCTGGCTCTTCCCCGGATTAGTCGGGAGTTAGTCCGCGACACCAAACTTCCTGCCTAGTGCACGGAACCTCCGGGGGCAGCCGCCCGGCCCCGCCTCCGCCCGGGCCCGGGTCCGGCCGCGCTCACCGTAGCATCCTGGCCCGCGTAGTGGCTGATGACCCGGGAGCCCCCCGGGTGCCGGCGGATGAACTCGCTGATGTTGTACACCTTCCGGTCGATCACGAGCCACCGCTCCTTCTCGCGCCCGCAGCGCTGCGCCACCTCGTCCCAGGTGAAGTAGCGCGGGGTCTGCGCCGGGGTAGGGGTCTGGGGGTCCATCCGGGCCGGACGCCGCCGCGCGCCGGCGGGGCCGGTGGAGCGTCAGGCGCGCGCTCGGGGCCCGCGGGGTAGTGCGCGCCGGCCTCGCGTGCTCGGCGAGCGGAACGGCTTGCGCGCGCCGGGTTTTCAGCACCCGCGGCGCGGACCGCCGAGCCCCGCTGCGCGCGCTCCCATTGGTCGAGCCGCGTGGCGCGGGGAGCGAGCCCCCGCCTTCCCGCCGGGCCCCGCGCAAGGCAGGGCAGGGCCGGCCGGGCGCGGCCCCTCGCGGTCTCCGTGCAGGGGCGGCCGAGGGGGCCTGACTCCGGCCTCGGGGCTCACAGTGTGTTCGGGTGGGGAGGGGCTGTCCTGGATAGCGGGGTCGGGGCAGGGGTTGGGGGGAGCCCAGGGTTGCCACGGGGGACTGGTCTTTGGGCTCCTGGCCACGCAGGTCCATTGGTTGGACGGTCGAAAGAAGTGCAAGAACCGCAAGAACCTTCGGCGGTTAGCGTGTGAAAGGCCTCATTAGGGTTTATTGGGTTTATTGGGTGCTAATGATTTATTTTGCCCACAATAACGTTTAAAATGCCCCACAAGTTTTGTAACCCCGTTTACCTTTTTTTGGCGGGGGGAGCTTTAAATTTTGTTCTATTTTCAATTAACTGGGATCCTTAAATAAAAGCCCTTTGGCATCTCCTGACCTCAAGGAGGTTGTGGGAAGAGGCTGGTCCTCGAGCTGAGGAATCTCTGGTTCTGAGTCCAGGAGATACATGGGAGCCATGGCAAGCAAGCCTTTTAAGTAGAGGGACTGGGGCTTTAGGGCACTGGTCTTCAAGAAGGAATGAGGAAGCATCCAGAGGCTGGTAGTGCCAGCAAGAAACTGTTGGCAGTAGGAAGATACCCAGAATTTACTGCTCAATTTTCTCTTATTTATAAACCAGGTCCTTTAGAAAAGACTAGAGTGTGGGCGCTTTGGTGGCACTCTGCAGACAAGGGGAAGAAGGCAGAGCCTTGTCCCAAGCACTGAGCTAGAGTCTGAGCCCCTAGGAGTCAGGAGAAGGTCATACAAACAGACTGGGGAAGATGCCACTGGCAGAAAAGGACCTTAAACCATTCAGTCCAAATCGTGCATTTTACAGAGAATTGAGTTTCGGAAACCGGAAGGGACTTCCTGTCTTCCTCAGGTGTCCTGTCTTCCGGTTAAGATTCCAGCAGTTGCACCTTGTTTAGGAATGAAGGTCCATGCAGCTGCCCCTCTGTATGCCAGTTTTCCTTTAAAAAACAAAAGCATAAAAAACCACCCCAAACCTTGCTCAACAACTTGGCCGTTTGTAACCAGAACTATAAAATGATTTGTACTCTTTGATCAAGTAATTTCACTCTTGGAAAAGTGAGGAGTGGGAGATTGCAAAGATGTTTATTGCTAATTTAGTAGCGAAGGCCAGAAACAGCTCCAAATCCTGACACAAAATCAGCACACTCACGGGAAGGTATTAGCACAATGAGGAATTACAGAGTGATTAGAAATGACCAAGATGTGAACTGTATTGGTAGGTAGAAAGTTCTTTGCAGTGAAAAGAGTAGAATTCAAAGTAGTATGTATTCGCTGAGTACAAATATGTAAGAATCCCAGGGGTATTAAATATCAGAAGACAGACCGCCACGGTGAGAACCATTTCACAGTTTAACATTCTTTGTTTTTCTGTAAACGTGCTTCATCTCATTGAAGAAGAAGAAGAAAGACCTTACTACAACCATTATTCCTGTAGCAAAGTCTCATACTTCTTTCTGGAAAACTAGTTGAGCAACTTTATTTAGAACCTTAAAAATGTTTCCAGTAATTTCATGTTTAGGGACGGCGTCTAAGGAAATCTTCCCCGCCCTTAATGCTGTGACTTTTATTCCTATGCCTTATTCACTCCATAATTGGAAGCCTGCATATCCCACTCCCCTCACCAATTTTACCCACCACCACCCCCAGCCTCCTCCCCTCTGGCAACCATCAGTTTGTTCTCTGTATTTATAGGTCTGATTCTTTTTTAAGGAAATCTTTTGAGAAAAATATTTATAAACAAAAAATATTCGTTGAAGCAGTATTTATGATAGCAAAAAATAGCAACCATCTAAATGCCCATCGATGGCATATTATGCAGAACATTAAAAATAACGTGATGAGGGCGGCTGAGTGACTCAGTCGGTTGAGTGTCCGACTTCGGCTCAGATCACCATCTCCCGGTCTGGTAAGTTTGAGCCCTGCGTTGGGGTCTGTGATGACAGCTCAGAGCCTGGAGCCTGCTTCAGATTCTGTGTCTCCCCCTCTCTGCCCCTCCCATGATCATGCTCTGTCTCTCTGTATCTCTCAATCAATGATAAATAAATGTTAAAAAAATTTTTAAAAGAGGATAGATGCAGATGACTCCTTTTTTAAATTCTCAACACTTAAGCAGTTTGTGTGACATAAATCTGCATTTGTGTTTCTTTCTTCTGCAAATGTTCTTATGCCAGTGTCATATATTTTGGCCTCCTCCCTAACTAGATTATAATCAGGGGGCAGGGACTATGAATTCTGTTTACTTCTACCTCATATATTCAAAGCACCCTAGTCTGGGGTTCTGTGTGGAATCAGTAAATTTGTTGAACTAACTGATCGTTTCAACCTGAAAAAAATACAGGTTAGCATCATTTCAACCTGAAAAAAAATACAGGTTAGCAAGCATATAGGCCACTAGATAAATCCCCGATTGTCCTCTCATGTCCCTACAGTCCTACATATTTTATTTGGAGAGAGAGAGAGAGAGAGAGAGAGAGAGAAAGCAAGAGAGAGAAAGCATGTACATGTGAGTTGGGGAGGTGCAGAAAGAAAGAGAATCTTAAGCAGGCTCCATGCTCAGTGAGAAGTCTGGCACGGAGCTCGATCCCATGAACCTTGAGATCATAACCCCAGCTGAAATCCAGAGTCAGACACCTAACCAGCCGAGCCACCCAGGCACCCCACCCCTATGCTCCTACATAAATCATCATGTAGATTGTAAAAAAGATTTATTTCCAGGCCTGAGTCAGGGCAAATGACTGACTGGGCAAATCCTTTGTTTCTTGGGCTCTGCTGATCCCATGAACTTGCCTTATCCAAGAAATAAATCACATGCTTAAGTGCAGGCTGGGATTTAAGATTACTCCTCACTATTCTGGCTATGAGGACTAAGGAAACAGAAAGCAATTAGCTTAAGACCCTAATGCCAGCTCTCATCAGATCAGATTTAAGTAACATAACTACTGTAAACCATTGGAATAACCTGAGATGTGAGTTCAGGTTTTGATCTGCTTTGTCAAGAATCATAAACATTCACAGACAGTGGACTGGATCCTTTACAAAGTCAAGGAGTGTAGGAGGAAAAATATTGCTTGTGCGTAGCCTCCTGCTACAGCCTTTTCTCAACTGATGGTGCCTCAGACCATTAAAGATCAATGGGGCACCCGGGTGGCTCAGTTGGTTGAGGGTCGGACTTCCACTCAGGTCACAATCTCACGGTTCCTGAGTCTGAGCCTCTGCATCCGGTTCGCTGCTGTCACCGTGGAGCCTGCTTCAAATCCTCTGTCCCCCTCTCTCTGCCCCTCCCCAACTTGTGCTCCCTCTCTCTCTCTCTCAAAAAATATATAAACTTTAAAAAAAAATCAAAGTCATTTTCCTAGTATCTAAGTTTCTGTGAAATTAGATAATATGTGGGGACACAGTGAACCCAATGCTTTACACACAGTAGGTTCTAATCAAGTTAACTGAGTCAGTCCTTGTTTTAAGAAAAATCGTTTATATGGGGCACCTGGCTGGCTCAGTTGCTAGAGCACGTGCCTCTTGATCTTGGGGTTATAAGTTCAAGCCACACGTCAGGTATAGAGGTTATTTAAAAATAAATTAAATCTTAATTAAAGGAAAGAGCATTTATAATAGCTAAGTTATGTCAAGTATTAAAAAAAAATCTGTGATGCCTAGTGCTTGACCTGAGAAGGGTCTCAAGATGACACTTTTATTAGAGGCAAAGGGCTGGCTAGAAACAGTATTCTTTCATTTTACAGTTTACAGAACACAGGAGCTGGGGATCAAGGGGCTTGTGGAGGATGACCTTACAGAATGTTCTCAGTGGGATCTTGTTACTGTCTTGAGGATAAGTACCTTACAAACAGGTATATATTAAACCTGCTGTTTTATAGATAAGGTGACAGATGCAAAGAGCTGGAGCCACACGCACAAAAAAACAGGACATCTGGCAAACCACAAGGGACTCTTACATATAGAGAACAAACTGACGGTTTCTGGAGGGGCGGTGGGTGGGGGGATGGGCTGAACGGGTGAAGGGCATTTAGGAGGGCACTTGTTGGGACGAGCACTGGGTGTTATTTGTAAGTGATGAATCACTAAATTCTACTCCTGAGACCAATACTCCACCATATGGTAACTAACATGAATTTAAATTTAAATATATATATATGTATGTGTGTATGTATATATATGTGTATACATATACATATGTGTATATATACATACACACATACATATATATATATATGAGCTGGAATTTACCCCTGGGTCCAATGATACCTTTTAGTTCATCTCTGCAGGAGTTCCCGAACGGAGGTTCAGTACATGTGTTTGATATAAGGCTGCCCGGGTTCAAAGAAGAGGTGGCACAATTAGCTTCTCTGGGGCACCTTCTTCCTGTGCCGGGCCCTTAAACTTGCCTTTGCATAATGGCAGAAGGCGCTTCAAAACCCCTAGGTCCCAGAGCTTCAAAGTTCCCCAGGAAATTGGTCTGCGGTGCCCCAGGCATCCAGGTCAATTTTTTGCTTGTCCGTTAACGCAGCATTTGAGAGGACAAAGGGTCTCTATTGAAAATAAAAGAAAGGGGTGCCAGGGTGGCTCAGTTGGTTAATTTAAGGGACAGATCATGATCTCACTGTTCCCGAGTTCCAGCCCAGCCCCACCAGGCTCCTTGCTGACAGCTCAGAGCCTGGAGCCTGCTTCTGATTCTGAGTCTCCCGTCTCTGTCTCTGCCCCTCCCTACCACTGGTGCTGAGT